ATGGGTGGCACAACTGGCTGAAAAGCTGCATTACATAATTAAGTATCAATAATTTATAACCCTAATAATGTAAGTGCAGTGAAAAATGAATCTTTGTTCTGACCCATGTGGCCAGAACATACACTGTCTCTGACAAGCAGCCTAAAGTGGATGCCTAGGGTATAGCCGAAGGACAGGGGATGTATATGTGGGACTTTCTAATAATCTCAAGCTTTAAGAGCCAGATGTGCTTCCCATGTGTTAGTACCTTTGAGCCTTCACTTAAGCCCATTTTAAAACACGAAATGATTGACTAAGAATAATGTATTAGACAATTCCATGGTAGTCTAGCCGATTCCAAAACTAGTTTTTTCACTTGACACAGATGCTACTAGAGCACACATGAGACACTGACACTGAGTGTCTGAGACACTCCAAGGCAGGAACTGAGAGCTCTTTACAGGATAGCAGGAATTTTCAATTTATCAGCACCAATGATCTGAAATAAATAGGATGAAGTATTTCATGCAGGAATAATCAACTACCAAAACCCCAAATAAATAGTATGACAGTGTATCAGCTCCTCCAGCAAGTTTCATGGGATTACAGTACACATGACTCAATATCCCACCTGCATGATTTTGCAAGTTTTACAACATAATGAATAAACAGACTCTTATATGTTTTACATGTAAGCTTTCATTTCTAGTCAATATAGATGAAACTTTCAGCTGGAATACTGTATCCAGTTTAAGTATTGTACTTCAAGAACAATTTAGGCTACTGTGAATGTAGTAGAAGTCTTTCAGATTTCTGATCAAATTCATAAAAGAATCAGGGTTATGCAATCTGGAAAAAACATGAAGAAAAATGACAAAATTTCAGAGAGGCAAGAAATAAAGTCTTCCTAGGCGCAGCAAGAAGAGTAACAAGCTCAAAATTGCAACAAGAGAAATTTTGACATAAGGAAAATCTGGTGGTTGGAACAGATGAGCAGTGAAACACATCGCTTATGGCGGCTGCAAAATCTCCACCACTGGAGATTTACAGGGACACTTATGTAACTACCTAAACCA